AGGAAGGACTCCCTGGAGAAGAGTCTAATGCTGGGAACAATAGATGGCAAAAGAAGAAGGGCATGGCAGAGAATGAGGCGGCTAGATGGAGTCACTGAAGCAGTTGGTGTGAGCTTAAGTGGACTCCGGGTGATGTTGGAGGGCAGGAAGGCCTGGAGGAATGTTGTCCATGGGGTCCCGATGGGTCCGACAGGACTTCGCAACTAACAACAACAATGAAGCGATTTAACTTTGCACTAAATGTAGCAGCCTCCTTAGCTGAGCGGAGAGTCTCAGTCTTTTAAAGGGACAGTTGAATAACAAAGCTTCAGGGAAAAGGAGCCTGGCTGAGAATTCTGGTACTTCCTGGGCAAGAGAACCTGGTTCACTGCAGGTCTGATTTTATATCACAAAGGCACATATAAGCAACCTTTCTATATAAAGATTTACTTGGATTTCTCCAACACTGCATGAGGGAGCCCTGCCAGCTGCACTCTTGCAGTGGTAAATGTGGTAAGGAGATACAGCAATGAGGCCCCCTGGCAGGGGTGGGATGGAAGGACAGAGTATGGCAGAGCCGTCCAATGGGTTGGCCTTCCTGCTTTGCCGCCTGATAGAGCTAACTATTCTGCTTCGTGGGTGGGCCAGCCCTGGGGTTACCTATATTTTAAGCATTTCTCTAGGGGTAAGGTTGTCACACAGGGAAGGACCACCTTCTGCGTGTGAAAAATGTCATAAGTCCCAATATCCCCAGCAGGGCTAGGAAAGGCTCCTGCCCAAAGCCCTAGAAGGCCACTGCTAGCCAGTGTGAATGACATGGAACTGCAGGGACCAGCTGCAACTTGCTTTATTGCTAATCTGAGCTAGAAGCAGGAAAAAAATGGAAGCAAAATACATGAGAATGGAGGTCCTCATTTCAAGCCTGTCCTCATTTCATCTGTTGGAGAGTATGTGACTAGACTGATATTACCAATCTAAACATCACTACAATAAACAGATCGATAGATGTACAATGCACATACAAAGAGCCCAGATCGTTCCCCCATGGCCTTCCTGCAAGTTGTTTTACCAGCCTTCCAAATGGCAGGGTGGGTGGGGGAGGGGGGGTTCCCCTGGCAGCCTCCCATGAGAAAACATTTCACATGGAAACTTCCTTACACAAGTGATCAGACATTTCAACCTCCTTGCAGATTTCCCTAATTTATTTGATGGAGCTTTTAACAAAGCTATGCACAACACTGAAAGCATTGTTTTTGCCTTTTAGATTCTTTGCATGTACACATAGATGCATATACAGAAAAATCTGAGCTAGGAACAGCCACACCACTGAAGATATGTGGGCCCTGTGAAGGCGGAGTATTTAAGTAGCAGTGAATCCATACCTAATTGGGAAATGGGATTCAAGTCATTGCACATATGGCTCACTTAAAGTCAAATGGCAGCCTTGTTCTCAAAAACAATGTTTTTTAGTATCAGACATTTCAGTCAATGACTAAGTAGAAGTAAGGAAAATGATATTGTATTGACCAAGTGATAAATGGAATGTTTTCAATATGCAACAGATAATGTGAAAGTAGGTGCAATACCTAATAAATAGGTACTATAAAGAGGCAGCAGTAGAAAATTTGATTGCACAGAAACTCTCACACCTATGCCAGTGGTGCATTTCCTACATCTTTCACTGGGTGCTAGTTCTTCTGGTTTCTGCTAACTGAAGCTGGATGAAATTCAGCAGAAGGCAACTCCTTACACTTAATGTCTCAGTCTTTCTAGGAGGTGTGTCTGGGGAGTATTACTTTGGCAATGAGTTATAATTACCAAACTACCGGTAATCTTTTGCTTCCCAGTTAAAACTAGAGGAGGCCCCAGAGGGAAATGTAGAATGACAGCAGTCAAGGCCTCTGCTGTCTGTGAGAGACCCGGAGTTGAGGATAGATGTGTTGGCCACGTGGAGCTGACAGACGCTTTTTTTGGTCCTTAGTCAAGAGCATTCAACAGAGAAATGCAGCTAAGAGCCCTTCTGTGAGCAAAATGGAAGGAATTAAGCAAACAAATATTTGACTCAGGAAATATCTCTGCAGTATAAGGTAGGGAGGAGGAGTACTGGGATGAAGGCCAACAGGGTTGGGGGCTGTCTACTATTCAGCCCAAGGCTAGGAAGGAAGGGTGAGAGCTTTGTGCTCTGGTGTAACCACAGCTGTGTCTCCCAATTAAAAGAAAACCCAAATAAGCATGTTGGATTTCTTCTTTCCACCCCACACTTCCCAAAAGACTGCTCCATCCAGCCTGCTCTGCAGCAGCTGGGTCCTCTAAGCACATTAACAGCACAGCCTTCTGGGAGGGTCAATATTAGTCTAAACTTTTGATCCACTTATGCATGGAGGTGGACCATTTGAGGCTCACCTAGCCTGTGTGTGCTGCTTCTTGTGGACAAGAAATGGTTTGTTCTCCAGCACTGAGCAATGCACATCATAAGGAGGCTGCTGCTAGAGTTTATTTTTATAGGTTGCCCTACCTTGGTTATTTTTTTCCTTAATATCATATTTTTGAGGTTCATTTAGTAAACTCATGTATTCCTCCATTCACACCAGTTCATCCTAGAATGGTGCCTTTAACCCAACTTAAAACAATGATTCTTCCTTTGGGGAATTGTTCGCATTGAAATTTTACTTTGCTGTCACCCTGACACCAGGCTATCACTGTTGCCTAAGTTCACTGAGTTTCTCTGGATTAATCCTTGTACAAACAGTGGTAGTGATGCACAAGAATTTTTTTTCAATTTATACCCTGCCTTTTTCCTACAAAGGGCTTAAGGCAGCTTACATCATTCTCCTCCTCCATCTTATTCTCCATTTTAAGGACTACCCTGCTGGATCAGACTGAAGATCCATCTGCTTCAACAACCTGTTCCTCACAGTGGCCAGCAAGTGCTTCATGGAATATCACTAACAAAGCAATATTTCTGTTGTCCCCCAGCAATTTGTACTGAAAGAGATAATGCTTGGATGCAGAACTTCAGGACTTAGACACTGAAGCTGGTTGCCTGGGGCTTCCCTCTTACCCACACTCCCTTCCATGGTCCCAGCCCCTTTCCTTCAACCACTGGTCATTTAGCAATCCCCAACATTTGTTCTTCCCCATTTTGAAATGCCTCTCCTAAGACTTAGCTGCTGACACTAAGAGCTTTAAAATAGAACGTGCTGTCCATGCTGAAATGCGATCCCCAACCTAATCCCATACCTATTAAATTTACTCAGCCCCCTTTTGGTGAAGTTCAAGTATATAATCTCTACTGGATCACCACATCCATGTTCTCATTGAAACTCTCAAACAAGTCCAAAGTTTTGACACCCAACTGTGCTCAGGAATAAAAGTCTCCACTCACCAAACCTTCCTGTCCTCTTAATCAGGGATATTCAGTGGCTGCTGCTAGTTCTTAAAGGTGAGGTGCTTATTGGAAGACATGCTTTAAAAGTGATATCCACCATTATATGGGAGCATAGTTTGGATTTTATTGTTGGGTTCAGTTCCACAACAGCCCTTGTGCCTCTGCTGGATGAGGGCAAGATGACCGCCTACTCCTAATTCTCCTGGACCCCTCAGTGGTTTTCAGTGCCTGTTACAATAGCGTCCTTTTGGAGCGTCTCTTCAAGTGGGGAGATTGGTGAATGCATTCACATAATTCTGATCCTAATTGAACAGCCACTTCTATGTAAGCTCAGGGTTCAGTTTTATCTCCCAATACGTTTTGCAGCTCCACGAAACCACAGAGTGAGGTTTTCTGGAGTTTTGGAGTGTAATGTCACCAGCATCCTGAAGAACAAAATTTTCTTTCTCCTTTTCATCAAGCTGAGGTGAAGTTGCAGAGATGCTGAGCCAATGTTTGGATAAGATTGATAAATTTATGTTCTGTCCCAATAGGATGAAGATGGTGTTGATACGTGATTTACCTGTACTTGGAAATGGTGTTTTGCCTATTTGCAGTGAGGTTACATTGCTCCTGAAAACTTTATTCACAGAGTGGTGATATAATCAATAGGTGCTCTATCCTAGAAGACCCATACACCCCAGTCTCTCCTGGACAGAGAAAGAAGCTGGTCACAATTATTCTGGTCCGCTAACATCCAGTTTTGAATCCTTCCATTCCTGTCCAGTTCTTACTTTCTGTAGAGAACTAAACTCTTAATCTGAAAATGGGCATGAACCACTCCCCTTTCTCTAAGAAGAAAGCCATGAATGAACCGAGCAGCTTCATATTAATTGAATACTGTATTTCTTTGGCCATCTGATCTATGTCTTCAATTTTTTTTCCAGTAATAAGTCGGGGGGCAAGGAGTAATAGAGTTCAAGTAAATGTCATACTGGCTAGTCAAGTTTTTGTTTCCCTCCACAGTGAGTGGATGAGCACAGGATTGCCCAGGACACCTATCAGGTTGAAGATTGACAGAAAAAGCTCAATGATGCACTAAAACTAAATATTTTGGTATCATAAAATGCATGGGTTGCCTTGTCTTAGGCCAGTAGCAGGAAACCTTGCAGCACAAGGATGGAATTCAATTTCAGAAAAGCTCTTGGGGCTGCGTTCAAGGAGTGGGCAGAGCTGAAGCCAAAAAGGGTGGGGTAAAAATGACAAAAAATGCAAAAATAACATCATACTGTAATTTAAAGCTCTTGTTTTCAGTAACTAAACATTAGGAGAGGCATTTCAATTTTTTCAAGTGGGCAGGGGAGCTGTAGAAAAACCAAGAAACCACTCAATAATTGGGAGAAAGAGGCACAGCCGTTTGGGGGACCCTAGAAGGTTGGATTTGGCCCTGGGCATGATGTTTCTCACCAGTGAATGCCTCAGGCCTCTACTTAATCAGAATGAGTCTTTTCTTATTTAAACATTTCAAATCTGAATATACATATGTGGGATTTTGAAATACGTTTCAATATTTGGCTTTGGTTGTGGTATGGTTTCATGTATGCAAATGTGACAATCTTATACATGCATGAATATTTGTAGGCAATAGAGAGAATTCTGAAACAAAAATATATTTATTTTCATGATTATAGCAATAACGTTCAAATGTGAATTTGGATCTTGAAATTCCAATATTTTTAACAGAATAAAATTGAGTGTGAACTTCCACTTCAGCTAATCTCAAACTATAGGAATGCCACAACACTGTAGCCACCTGAGGGCAGCAAATGAGTATCTCAAAAGATTCTGTTGAGAAACTTTGAGATGAATTCTTGCTTATAAAGTACGTCATTATTTACAAAAAGTTTGGCTTTTTTAAATAATGGCTTTAGAGTTCCTGTTTTACTTAAAATAATATGATAGCAAATGCATCTGAAGCAGGTAGAACTCAAATTGGAGTAAATTATCTCAATTTTATTTGTCTATCGGCCAGCTGAATAAGGTGTCCTTATCATAACCAGTCTGACTGTTCATGAAAAATTAAAAAGCAGAGGATACTTGTTTTTATATCAAAACATGATCCTTTTGATTATAACTCTAGTTTGTTTGTGATCATGCACTGATTATGCATGGCCATCGTGTGTATTTGAAAACAACCATTTAAAGGTATTGGCAGAACACAATGGCAGGATCTAATTTTACCCAGGATACATCATGAAGTACTTGGCTCCAGAATCTATTTACACTGCCATATGAAGGAATAAGAACATAGGAAGAGCCATGCTAGATCAGACGAATGATCCATCTAGTTCATCATTATGTTCACACAACCATGGATAGCCTTCATCTCCATGAGTGAAGTCATCTACTTGGTGGACATCACTACCCATTGTAGAAGTTAATTCTGTAGGTTAATTATGCCCTATGTGGTGAAGGACTTCCATTTATCTGCCAGGAATTTCTCACCAGACAATTCCATCAGTGACTCTGGATTCTAGTATTCTGAGAATGAGAAAAAATACGATTATTATTAGATTGCATTCATCGCTCGACTTTTTTCCTCCCGTGAGAAATGCAAGGTAGGATACATAGTTCCATTTTATCCTCACAACAGCAACCTGTGAGGTAACTTGGCCTGCAAATGAGTGACTGGTCCCAAGTCTCCCACCCACTCAGCATCATGGCTGAGTGGGGAGTAGAACCCAGATCTTCCAGGCCCCTAGTCCAACACTCTCACCACCACACTACAGTGGTTCTCTGGTCCACTTTCTCCACACCAACCATGATCTTGTTCACCTCTGTCGTATCTCACCTTGCTTACTTTTTCTCCGAGTGCTTCAGACTATGTGATGGTTGCACTTCTGTCCCCACTTTGAAACCACAGCAGAACTGAATGCAAGTGGGACTAGCCAGGGAAACCAGAGACCATGCCTTTCATCCAAGTTTGCACTTGGGAGGCCTCCCACAAAGGTCAAAGGGGCAATTTTTTTCCTGTCCTGCACAATGCATGGGGAGGGGGGCAAGATGGGGATATGGAAGGCACAAGGACCTCCTGCTCTCTGCAGTGCTTGCTTATAGTACCCACATACTTCCAGTTGCAGGGTGACTGGGAAAATAATCTACTGATCCCTGTGGGCCTCCTTCAAGGGCAGGTGATGTGCTCATTCAAATAGATCGAACCCAACATAATCTATGATGATGATGATGATGATGATGATGATGAGCAAGCCTACTGTAAATAAGATATTAAGAAGGTTGCCACTCAACTCTTAATAACACTCTTTTCAGCAAGCAGGAAATGAGCTAAATAGAGATGGTCTCTCAAAGAACTGGGTACAGAAAGTAAGCATCAGATAGGTTGATTAAAGGAGCAGAAAAATGGAACAGATGGGTGATGAGTGCTATGGAACACAATCGGTAACACACATTGCCCTGTATGATGGTACGTTGCCTGAATTTATCAACAAGCAGAGCAATATGTAGACTTGATAAATACTACGGCTTGGAAAGAGAGTTCCTGGGAAAAGAACCACAGTTACAGAAAGAACCTTCTGGCAGAAGGAAGGGAGGCAAGATGCAACAATAGCTCCTTCCCCTTCTGGGCCCCCTGGAAATCCCCTTCTGGGCCCCCTGGAACAGCACTCAGGGTAACATTGGGGGCAGAGCAAGGAGGGGCAGGTGAAAGTTGGTACGATCCTTTTAGAATATTTTAATATTCTGAGCTTCAAGTACATTTCTTATGACATCACAGGCAAATTTGAAATTGTGGTCCATTTTATCAATTCACCGGAAAATGGCTTAGGATAATAAAATGCCTTCCAAACACATTTCTGTATATTTTAAGGGCTGTTTTAACAGACTTTATATTTTAAATATTTTATTCTTATAAATTAGAAAAGAATGGACATTTGTAAAAAAAATGCTTAGAAAGAGATACTGTATAGCATTAGCATAAGCAAAATGTGATTTGGGGTAATAACAAAAGCATGACATAGAGGAAGAGATTAAAAAAAAATCTTTAAATGGTTTCTCTTCCACAAGATCCCACTCATTCAATCAGTTGTTGGTGCCAGACATCACTGTGGTCATGGGTAGCAAAAATGGACTCTGGCTGCTGCTTTAATAATCAAAAGGAACACATTTTCGTGCGAGCTCAGGGTTTATGGCTTATTTAAGCAGTTAAACAGGCTCTTTAGCAAGTGTTAAAGCAATCAGACCAATGTTCTTAGCAATCAATGGCCTCACGGAGCAAGGCTCTCTACTCTCAGCTGAGGAACTGCCAGGGACTGCACGGTGCAAATACGCACCGTTATGTCACGTTCGAGGTGACTCTGGTGTTCTCTGCCTAAACTGATCCGGAGGCCAGGTTCACACAATATGTGTGGGTGCGTGTGTGTGAGAGAGACACAGACAGACAGACAGACAGACAGACAGACAGACAGACAGACTGACATCCTGAACACCGGAGACCTGTTCTGTCCATGTTTGTGTATTGAAGTATCCCCTTTGTTCTTGTAAACAGAAACCACTTTCTTGTAAACCACTTATGGTCAGGGGCACATACATCTCAATAATGATGATGATGTGAGGTAACAAGTTAATCGTGTTGAAATAGCCTGAAAGCCCTAGCAAGCATGTTTCCAGGACAAGTAGCATCCACAGCAGACCTCAGTTAAACAGAACGTCTGAGCAGAAACCCGGCTTCTCACCTCTGTTCCCACGTCTATGCCCTTTTTTGCCAATTGTGACTACTCCACAATTCCAATTTCCCTGGCCACTGCCTGACACACTCCTGTCATCACCCCCTCCACCACCCAAAGTCCAGTTCCCCATCTCTGCCACAGACTCCATGTCCTGGCCCTTTCATGGCTTCCTTTTCAGCTCTTTCGCATCTTCCATTCCAGCAGCTCAGTGCTGCCTCCGCCAGGGGTGTGCAACCCCAAAGGTGTTACTCAAGAGCACTCCCATGATACAAGAGACACCTAATGATCCCCTCATTTGTTGCTGCAACCACTGAAAGCATCCTACAGGTCGGCTCTCAGAGGCCTTGCTTCCCAGAGGGCACCTGAGGAACTCAAGGGAAGGGCATGGTGGGCAAGGGGGTGTGCATCAGATGTGCATGTGCACGTTTCTGCAGCGGCCCAAGAGGTTGCTTCCCCTCGTGACTGGCAGCCCTCCCTGGAAATGCCAGGGATTGAACATGGGCTCCTTCCCTGGCAATGTGTCCTCTACCCGCAAGGCATGTTTGCTTGTCAGATACAATTCAATCCCATGTTTGTAACTACTTGGTGTGACAGAAGGTCCTTTTCAGAAAGCCAGGTATAACTAGGAGAAATCGCAGATAAGTCATTGGTCATGACAGGACGCTGGTTACAGGTCTGCCCTGGGTTGCCCTTTTCTAGCATCTAGGTAGCAGTGGGAGTAATGGCCAGTTGCAGTTGCTTGTGTATGTTTGCAGATTAATACATAGATGAATATATGAGAAAATAATATGGGCTGGGAACAGTCTTACCCAACCATTCTTAGCTTTTTGGAAAGTCGTCCTTGTAGATATTTTCTAAATGAGCTGTGCAGAGACCCCATTTTAAAAAAAAGGAGGATACTGAGAGCAAGTACTCATGGAGAGGATTCACTCTAATGTATGTCCAACTCTGGACAAAGATTTTTTTAAATTTTGTAATCATATTCCATCACACAAGGGATTTATTTTTAATCTTTCTTTCCCAGCCAATTTTCAGTGTTGGTGGAGGTTGCCCACTCAACATTCAGATCGTTTCTTTGTATCAGAAGTGTAAGGAGTGGGAATAGGAAATGACATTAGCCTATTTATTGCAGAGGGGATAAGCCAGTGTCCAAGCTACGTTACAATGCAAATGGGGACTCAAATGATGAAGTGCTCCTCAATGCCAAATAAATTAATAAATCCTCACACACTGAATAGTAGATATTGGGTGATGGATGATAGCCTAGCCTTTGGCTCAATATCTTAGTTGTCTGTGCAGATGTCTTTTATTTGCTATCATACAGTCATACGGTCCCCCATTTGAAGAGTGAAGTGGTTGAGTGCAGGTACAGATTTACCACTTTAGTGTGAAACAAGCCATTTCAGTCAGCCATTTCCCTCCCCACCAACTCTCCAACAACTCCCTGAAGAATAGAAAAATCTCATATTGCAGCCTATTTTGATGGGAAGATTGGATAAGTAAATAGCCTCTTTCCTCAACACCCTCAACTTCTTTTGGCACTGAATAACAAAGAGTTGTGATTTCACTTTCTGCCTAGACTAATTTATTTAAATGACTGCATTTTTTTTAATGCCCAACTGACTAACAGGATGGAAAAAACAGCACTATTTCAGATGGTAAACTCCTTTTGCTGATTTCTTGCATTGGATCACATGCTTACTTTAGAATATTAGGAAATAAAGGAATAAAGCTGTATTTTATCACAGTGTGGTTGAAAAAAGTGTGGATGTATAAGACAGACAATTCTACTAAACTATAAGTTAATCCACATTTAAAGATCTTATGTGGTCACTCTGAAAGCAGTCAGTCCAACCTCCATGGGCTAGATGCAATCAGTATATCATATTTATGGTCAGGGTAGGAAGGGATACAGCTGTGGAAGTAGACATTCTGGATATCACAATGACTGGTACACAGAAGTGTTCTAAATACAATTGCCACTGCTTTCCCATCCTTCCAAGTCAGACCACAGCCTTCATGCTTCCCTTATACCTGTCCAGATCCTAGAGAGGGATGCATTAAAGGGTCTGCCATTCTTTAATGGTAGAAATCACTCTCCTTATGCCTGCTCACCCAAGCCAAACTCCTGGAAGCTGCATGACAAGCACCATGTTCAAATCCAATGCCTCCCTCTGCTGGCCAATGAGGGTGAAAAGTGGGGTTAAGAGAAAAGTTTGGGCAGATTTTTGGGTAAATTGAGGTGGGGAGAAGCTAGAGACAGCAGGCTAAAAACAGACATTCTGCATTCCTGATTTAGGCTGGTGTGTGTGTGGTGGGCCGGTACACCAGTAGGTCCTATCAGACCGTGGTTTACATTAGAACTAGGCAAAGCTAGGCAGATGAAGAGGGAAGGAACTCAGATACTTTAAGAGACAAAAGCAGCTGGCAAAATTGGACTGTTTCACATTAGCATCATAGCTGAATCAAGAGGCTTGATCTACTCAGAAGCTTGCTAACACAGCATCAATGACAATAAAAAAAAAAAAAGCTGAAGGAACAGACCCGAATTAGAAAGCTGCTGGGAAGATGTAGATGATCAAGAAGAGTAAATGCATCCTAAGCTGAAAATGAATGGCATGGAAGGGGAATCAGTGGAGCTTGTGTGTGGTGGTGGGTGGGCTGGGACTGCACATGCATTTTTAGCCCATGCACACCTAGGAAAATCTTTGCTGGGATCATGAAAGCAAAATGGACTGGGGAGTCTTATCTGGCTCAGTGTAAGATGGCCTACCACCCACTTCCTGCAGAAGTGAATTGGGATGATGGAAGGAACTGGGGGGACATTTGTGGCAGCTGGTCTGAAATTTAGCCCTGCTGGTTCAGCAAAACATACCCCTGTATAAGACTTTTTATAGCTCCCTGGGCCATGGGAAAAGTCCTAAGTTGAAGTGGGCCAAGGACTCGTGCAAGAGAGCCGCTTCGCAGAATCAGCAGCAGATTTGAGATCCCTGAGCTGAGCTTGACATTCAGAGGCCAATGAAGCAGAATGGCATGCAAAGGACCTCCCCATTCAGAGACAATTTAGCAGGCTGCTTCCTTGAGATGGGCCTCACTCCCCAAGTGGGACTTGAACACCTGCCCCAAGGAACCTTTCTTGCCATGACATATGCTGGCTCCTGAGCAAACCCAGCGGGTGCTTCATTGTACAGTCTTGCCCAGTGTCAAAGTTGTGGCTATTTGTCACACATATGACATGTGCAGGGGCTCAAAGTCAAGCATGCAGGGATCCGTGGGGCATCTCCATTTTTGTGTTGTTATCTTCTGTGAAATGGAAGGTACTGTGGCATCTTTTCTGACTGCTACATAGTGTGGGTGGTGATGTGGGGGACACCAATTTTGTAAGTGTGTCTCCACTGTGGTGCATGTACGGATTCCTTCCAGAACTGCCTCTTGTAGTAGTTGTTGTTAGCAAGTCATACCAGAGTGGACACTGGTCTTTGCCATGTGGCACATTGCTCAGTGTGCTGTTGTTTGCCTTTCACTTAGGAAGAGGCTAGAAGAGCATATAGGCCCCCGTGCTATGATATTAACTGGCCACTGATGTAGCAAACCTACTGGATTACCCTATTCACAGAGTGTCATTCAGGAGATGGCACAAGCTTGGCCACCAAATACACTGTTATCCTTTGGAAGGGGATCAAGATATAGATTCCTGTGTGCCAGACCACAGGAAACTGCCCTAGGCTGAGTCAGTTTACTTCAACCAATGTTGACTACCGCATATGTCAACACCTCTCCAGAGTCTGAGAGAGTGAGTTGCATCATCAACTTTGAACTGGGGGAAATAGTGATTGACCCTGAAGATTCTTTCATGCAATGCATATAACTACCCACTGAACTATGGCCCCTTTCCCAACTCTACAGCATATGTGGACATGTTTTGTGTGTGTTTAGGCATTGAAACTGTTTGACAGCTTTCCGAAGCATGAGATTGAGGAATATTTGGGATTATCTGGGAATCAGTGTCTCCACTGCTTAAATATTGTGCCTGAAGCAGCAGAAAATGCCACCAATCAGGGTTGGAACGTGGAAAAATGCAAATGTGAGTTCACTTATGGCACAAAAAGTAAATGATAATGAAGCTCCCTTAATCAGATGCCTAGTTTTCTTGCTTGAGGCACAAGCTTTACTCTACCTGTATCAGTGAAACCAGTTCATCTCAGAATTCTGGCTAAGGGTAAGAAATGAAGAGGGACCATTATGGCAAAGGAATCCTATTTTGAGCTTTGTGGTGAGAAAGAACACACTGGGATGCCTGAAGAGATATTTATCATCAAGAAACTAGAATGTGACATCACCTATGCTCTTAATTTTGTTAACTTGGCCACTTTCTTGTCTCCTGGGCTATTTAGAACTTGTCTGGGATCATCACTTCTTGGAGGCAGCCTGGAACCTCTCTATATGCTTTGAAAACCAGCATCCTGCAGGGATTGAGAAGCTGTGGGTCCTCATATGTTGTTAACCTACAACTCCCATCTCCCTGTCTCTGACCAGTCTGGTGGGGTGATGGGAATTGGAATCCAACATCCATAAAGCTCCAGGTTTCCCAGGCATGATGCAGTGGGAATGGCAGAGAAACTGTTTTGCAACTGATCTGAATTTGAGACAGGTAGATGCTGAGCACTATTTTGCTCTGCTGGGGTGTGAATGTGTGTGTGGAATACTCCCAGCTACTGCCTTAAGGAACCCAAGACCAGATCACTGTTTTGGCTGAGGCTTCTTGTTTACACTATGCTCTGCTTCTGTATTAGATCACAGATGCAAGTAGTACTGATTCTAGCCAACAGTAAGGATACTATTAGGTGCCCAGTGTTCTTTCGTACAAAGAAAATTAAATCCCCAAGTGCTGCACCTAAAATGTCTCCTCACATTTTGGGGAGGCAGTAAGCTAAACATGAAGTGCCCAGAGAAATGGAGGAAAACAAATTACACATCGTACAACACTGTCTGCTTTATGTGGTAAATCTACCTTCTGCCCAAGTCTACATGCACATGTGCCAGTAGGAAATCATGTAATCTGGACGAGCCACTGGAGGAGATGAGATAGAAGAGACTTCAAGGCACACAGATATCCTGAAATCATAAGTACTGATAGGGGTTTTAAGTTGTGTTTGCAGCACTGAGAACATACTGCTCTTAAGTAATTTTGCATCCTGGGCAACTTTCCATTCCTTAAGTTGTTGCTGATGAGGAGGTAGCTTTAAGCAGAACAGTTAGAAGAGTAATTAGTCTGATGGCAGATTCAAATGATGCAGTGAAACATGAACAGCCAGAGAAATTTAGTGCAATCATTTTCTAAAATGAAATGCATCAATTAGTTTCTGCATTTGTGATTTCAGGGTAAGGCAGTTCCTGGATCCCCTAAACCAGGGGCCTCATTGAAACATCACTGCCCTTCTCTATGCACATTTTGGGAAAAAAGGATTATGCCTAGAGGGTCAGTTGTTTACATCAAGCAGTTAGACATAAGTTACAGAGCGGGGCTGCAGGGAAACACTGCATAAGGGGTTAAGTGGTTCCTTGCCACTAATGTAAGCTGCAGCAAGTGCAAAGCAAAGGTGCAAATATTTTCAATAGCGTCTAGAAAAGCATACAAAGGAGGTAAGAACTATATGGAGAAGGATGAATGGTCCATTTTAGAGGAACCAGAGAAAGAACATTTTTAAGAAGTCACAGCCACCTCATAGGTAATTTCATTTTATTGCATTTTATAATGCCATTGTCCATACAGATTACATGCAGCTAGATCTACTGTACAAGGGTTTACCGTCTGCTAGAGCAGACACACAGAAGTCCAGAGTACAAATACACAGCAATGCTATTTCCTTTATACAGTATGGAAATGTGGCAGTGTGAAGCAGTAAGAGGAGGATGGGTCAATGGTTTACAGACATCCTTCTCCCTCCCCCAATAACCTTTCCCTTCACACTGGCTTGCCACCTGCTAAAAGGATGATCACATCAAACCAACAAATGTGAGGAAGAAAAAACCCACCATATTAAAGGTCACTGCGTGTCTTGCCTCTTTCCTCACACCTTCCTGGGTACCAGGAGAAGGAAAAGACAACAGACAGAGTGCTGACATGCCACAGTCCCCAACCCTCCCACCATATGTTGGATACTAGGATGAGAGAGATCTATTTGCAATGGAGAAGATTTAATTAGAAGAGGCCCCTGAGGGCCAACGCAAAATATTACAAATGAACAAATCAGGTCATTTCAGGAGACCCGTTACCCTCCCATTTTCATTCAATGAGATCAATGACCCCCTGGCTCATGCTGAACTGCTAAGTTGAAATGGTTTGAAAGTCACTAGTCATTGGTTCTTGGGTGTTTTCCTGCCACCTGAGATTCAGTGAGAGATTTTGGAAGACAAGAATGCCAAGTGGTGAAATACTCAGAGAAGCAGCTGCAGCTCTTTGGGTTTGGGTGGGTCAACAGGAAAGCTGCTCCGTATAGTATATGGTCAAAGTGAAAGGCAGAGCAATGGGGCCCAGAGTAGAGCAGCCGCATTGCAGTGAGCCACGAGAGAACTCCAAACTGACAAATCTTTCAATGCTTTGGAATGCTCCAAACCTGGAGAGGAACACCCTTCTCCCTTCAAATTATACAAGGTAAAGACATTTCTGTGGAGCCAAATACCAGGAAATTTGGAGTATGGATAAAACCAGACAGAATCCTGGGGATTTTTCTGAGTGGGATTTTTTTTTTCTTCTTGAAAAGTATCTATATTAAAAATTATGTAAACAACATACAAAACTGAAACACATACACCTTTGGTTTAATACAATGTGTTTTGCTTCTGTTCCTATTTCTCTAACTCCCGGGAAGCGAGAAAGGAAGGGAAATGATTATACCGTTGTCCCAGGTTTTTTCTTTGCAACGGTCTATCTCCTCCCACCCTCATCGATTCTACCAGCTAATTTACAGAAAGAAAACAAAACAAAAACATAAAAGAACTGGAACAGCATCCAAGTCAAGTCAAAGAGACACAAGAATGGCTTCCTAAATCCCAGGACAATGAAAATAACCCCTTCCTAAATTTTTCCCTGCATTAGTTTCATCACAGGATAGTTAAACAGACAACAATAAACTACATTTTTAGTAGGTTTTCAACCAGCATATATATCAATATATACATATACTATCCTGCCACAAGTTGTGTTTGGTCTTTCCCATACTACCTCTTTAAAAGCCATTTTGAGGTAACAAAAATAATAAAATAGATTAAAAACAAAAAATAAGTACTATATGTAGTTTGAAACAACTTTGTGAAAAGTTATTTGTGCACAAACAGATGTACCTAATGAAGGAGGAAGTCAGAGAAGGTTAGCACTACCAAGAGATTTGTGGCCGAAGGGGGGAAAAACCCTTCAGGACTCATGCCAGTCATACTGTTGCTTTGGCAACCAGCACTGAGTGAGGTACAAGGAAAACTGAATTAAAGCACAAGAGCTGGATGACGTAAACAAGAAATTATGCTCCAATACCACTTTTCCAAGATGACTTATGGAATAGCAATAAGAATGGGCATATCTGATGAAGTGGAAGAAAACACACAGATGCCTTAGATGTTTAAGAAAAAGGTCCCATAGATTAATTTTCTGTGTGTACATATTTTTGTGTATACAAGTGGGTATTTTAAAAGAAAGTTTTAAAATGTGGTATTACTACATTTAATTAAATATGGGTGAGGAGAAAAAAACAGAGTTCAGCTCTTTAAACCTGCAATGGGACAGCAATAGTATAGGGACCTTTTCCTGGTTTGTGGAAAGGAATATTGCTTTTGCAATGCCCACACACACACACACACACACACGGAAGGAGGGAGGGAGGGAGGGACAACCTTGCAGATGAAATCAGAGTTTTTGGGAACAGTTTGGTACAGAATATTCCAACAGTCATCATTGTCCTTCCTCATTTTACAGCTTGATTTTGCTGGGAAGGAGGCCAGGAGAAACAATATGGGTTACTCGAGCTTATTCTCAACAAATAAAAAATAACCTGGCATTGTGCAGAATCCCTCCACTGCCTTAGTACTCTTGACCATTACCTTTCTCTTGATGCTGTACAACAGAACAAGCATTGATCCCATGAACAAGGGGAGGGTAGACTAATTACCATTTGCCTGGCAGTTCCCCACATCCTAGCAATCTTAACTATGTCCATCAGGTCTAAAGATTTCTTTTTCCTGTCAAGCTGGAAAGTCCTCATGTAAAGGAATTCTCGCAGAAAGGCGAACATTACACATGGGAGCACTCCCCTGTAATTCAAGAAAAGCAAGACACTCAAAGCCATGACCTGGACATAAGAAGGGCCCATATCAGATAACCTGAGTTGGATTTAAACAAAGGGCAGCAGCTAAAGAAAATGTTGCTAAACTGAAGCCTTAGCAGTTCAATCAATAGGAAAGATAGATCAAAGCAACTTTCACACTTCAAGCTGTTGGAGGGCAAAAATGCCCCAAATTGAATAGCTTTAGAGAATGGCACTTTGATTCAGTGATGCATTCTTTCTTCCGTGTCCTTTAATGGGTGCACCAGTGCTTGCAAAGCATGTTTACAGCCCTCGGAACAACAACCTACTTGTTACTAATCAAGCATATGCAAGATTTCCGAAGCTGTGTTGAGAGAGAACAAGGATAAGGCAGGTCCTGATCAATTGCCAAGTGAAGTCAGCAGGAAGCCTGTTATTGATAAGAATATATTTGGGATCTGTTTCTCTATTTATAGCATTTGCAGTTTTTCAATGACAAACTTTGCAGCTTATACATGGGCAAATCCGCAAGTACATGTAGAAACCCTGTTATTGCAAAGGGGCTTCTTTATATGTGTAAAAGATAAGCAATATTTTAGAACAAGCAGACCTCAGAATCATGCTGATCTTGTGGTACATGTCTTTTATCAGGACAGAGCACTACTACAGAACACCTGATGGATAGTAGTCAGCAAAATGAAATCAGACCCTGATTCTAAGATAGCCTTGCTGGGAAAGCTAGAACAAACAAAACATGAGAGATTGGCTTTATGTTTTTCAGGGAACTGTTACTTGCAGGACACACAATTTTAGAAGCATGAGATCAGTTCTCAGAAACCTCATATTCTATTATCTCTCAAATATGCACTGGCTCCCTTTAGATCCAAAAGTGGATTAAAAATCCAAAAAGGTTCAAAAGGAATGCCAGCTGCACAGCGACAAAGATACATCTGCACCCCACACTGACAAGCCTGTAACAAATCCTTGGCCTTCAGTGTCACAAGGCAGATGTTTAAAGATGGAATCTGAGTAAGTTTCATAATGATGCCATAGTGGGGAGGCCAGATGCCCCACTGGTATTTTGTGGGGCTGGGACTGCTTGAAGAACTGAATATTGTAGTAATACCCAACATAAATGAACACATGGTTTTGCTTCTTTGATAAGGAATTCAGTGGCCTCGTTCTCACAGAGGTAATAATGTTGTGCCTGAGCTACACCTCTTCAGGGAGCTGCTCACTGACTGAATGCTCCTCTGTTAAAAAGAAATGATGTCAAAGAGAGCCCTTCTTCCCAGCACCTAGCTGTCTATGTGCTGAGACTCCCGTTGTATGGGAGAGCATTCGATCACAAGAGCTTCCTTGCCCCCTGCACTCCGAAGTGGTGCACCTCAGACACGGCTGCAATGATTACAGCCAGAACGAGCTGCAAAACTATGCTCTGAGGATACATACATTAATACTGTCACATGAAGGCAGAAAGAAGCTGCAACTGGCACTGCAAGAATGGTTCGCAGTGCAATACAATCTGGCCATGCTCCATTTTGGCTCAAAACTGAATGATACAGGCTATATCATCTATAATTGGGAAAGACTGAGGTCTACTTTCATTTGAACTGTAACAACAGCCAATCAGTATGACTTAGATGGCATAAGAGGAAATGTTTTACCACTTGTATTTGTCGGGATTCTAAAAAAGAGTTAAAGGTTCTCAGAACAAGGACAATGCAAGCCATGGATATTGATAAGGCTGCACCACATCCAGAATTGAGACCCGGTTTATACAGTCCGCAGAATCATGTAACGCTGTTCCTGGATGGTACAAACGGGGCAGTGACAGCAGCATGTTTAGCTTGCTTTTCCAAAATGAAAAAGAATAAACCACCAGCGGCAGCTGGCGTACCAGGAAGAGGGGTTCAATCTAATCTTTGACCTGACAACTGTTTTCCCCCCCTAATTTCTATAGTCCTAAAGTTAGACAGTTCAGAAGTTGCATCACTTGATTTTACCAAATGTATGAAGTGGTTCTTGTATCTCCAACATTGCAGCAACAATTTTGGCATTAGCTAACTCACTCAGCTGGTTCACACTGGGCAGTTCATAGATTAATCCTGAGCAAAATGCTCCCCTTTTTTGGGCCTCTCCATTTAAGCAGGTCAAGGTGAACAAACCCAAACAAGCAAGGCAGAGGCTTTGGTTAAAACAGAGACAGTTATATTTCTAAAGAGAATCTCTTCCCACAAATGAGGATGGTTACAGTTCAGCTCTTAACTGTACAGTACCAGAAACATCATTTTAATACTGGCAGAACACATATCCTAGGCACCTCAGGACCAGCTGCAGGTGCCCAACACAAAACCGGATATTGTACCAGGAGGAGGAAAAAACAAAACAAAACAGACTGAGGTCAGTGAGTCAGCATGTTAGCATCTTTGAAGAGCTGAGACTGATGATAAAGCCCTGCCTTAGTAGGAATGGAAAGAAAAGGAAAGCTGTGGGCGAAAGACAATAGTATCAGGATATAACCACTCAGTTCTCAAATAGTTCGTAAAGCCATAGGACACAATATAGCAGTACATGAACTGGGATGCAGTCTGACAAAGTTTAAAGAAGTTCCATACTGCATGCTCACAGAGCGGATTTACACATTATACCGAATGATGTAGGTGAATTCCAGAAATATGTCATTCCAGACTGTATGAGTTAGACAGGCTCGCCCATATGTAAATAAAAACAAACGCATTTGTATGTGCATCAGGAAGAAGACTAAGGCTTGCTTTCTGATACACTAATACACAGTTATGGGGGGATTTCTATGTATGTGCACACAGGGTTATTAAAATTACACACAAGATGTCTCTAACACTTCAGCAGTCTGAAATACTGTGGTCAAGAATGTCATCACCTCACACTGCTTCGTGTGTATAGACTGACTCAAAATACACAGAGAGCCTTGCAATGAATCTTCTTGTGAGCTTCTCAGAAACATGCATTACCCAGACAATGTCTCAAAGAACAGACAAGGTTCTCATTCATTCTGGAGGATGAAGAAAAGGAGTTAAGACAAAACTCCTTTAGAAATCAAAAAGGGGGGGATAAAAATTGCAAAAATAAAACCCACCACTGAATTGTGTACAAACAGCTGAAATGCAGTTATGATTTGTAATATGAAAAAGTGAGATGGAAGCAGGTTCAGCAGAGACCCATGGAATGCAAACCCTCTCTAAGCTCCACAGCGTACCCTTGGTTAAGCACAAACACCAAGCAGCAGTGCATGATTCCGGTCTACCTTCATTAGAAGTGTACAAAACAGCACCTGTAAACTTTGGTTTAAATAATAACTTAAAAACAAAAGGAAGTGATAAAAGGGCTGTGGGGGTGCAGGATCTTTGTGAATTCTCTTTTTGGCCAATGTCAGTTGGAATAAGTGAAAATAAAAGCACCAAAGATTAAATAAAAAGTGTTTTGGTTTATGCTTCTCATCTAAGAAAGGTCTTTGGTCAATGGTTAAGCCAATTGTAAAGCATTCTGTAGAGGGCACTAGGGAGGCATTTAAATATGGTCCCAAGAGGAACAGTGAGGTGTGTTGTGTTTTTGCTCAAAGAAAGACTGGGAATATTTTCCCAAGCTGCTTCTGGAGCTGAGCTGGGCCCTGAGGGATGGATATACAGTCAAAGGGTTTTGAGGTATTCTAAGCTCCTGCAGTCATGTCTTGGCTATCTGTGGGTTCTGAACAGCAAACTTCTTGCTGGCAATGGATTGTTTCTCTGGAGAGGCTCTTAAAAGCTTTTTAATTTGTTTCACATCCTTTAAGCATGATCACCTCCAGTTTACCAATCATCCTCTTTGCCCCGTAAGTGGGCAGTCTGCTTCCCTTCACATCAGATCCAATACCTCAATGTTTTGAGATATTAAAAACTTTCAGATTTTGCTCTCATGGTAGGAAAATGCATGTTCAGCGGAGCCCTCTAGTGTAGGCTCTGGGAACCAAGCACTGCTAGTTTCCAAGTGAGGACCATGACATTTCTTTATTTTTGCAATCATGTTCCAAGAAAGAAGGGGCAGTCTTTTTCATATTCACAGCTTTGTTTAGATTTGAACCAAATCTGGGTCATTTATGTACCCTGTTTAGTACAGAGGGAATTTGGAAGAGAAACATTAGAAAGGAAGTATAACTTGTGTGCTACATGGACAATAACATCATTTCGATAAAACAGTCTCCCAAGGTTTACCAAAATTGGGGCAACGACAATCTGTGACTTCCCGGGTAAGGCTCCTCTTCCTCCAGCAAAATCCTTTGAAAAACACAAGACTGAGTGGGAGACTGGCCAAGGAGATGGTGAGAGATCATACTGCATAGTGTACCAGAATGTAAAAAATAAAGAGACTATTTGTCTGTGTAACCCACCAGGGATCCTTCTAGTGGATATCACCAATGGAAGAAGTGAGCAAATAGAACTGGAAAATTCTGCCAATCAACTTTAGAGCTGGTTGCAGAGGTTAGACCACACACCCCGCTCCTTATTTTTGAGAATGAGATAAGTTGAACTTGACTGAGAGGTTTGATCCCAATCACTATTCTTCTACAAAAAGAGGTTTGGGGTTGTATAGAAATAATGTGCTATTTTGTGTCCTTAAGAAACAGGCAAAGAAGAGGTAACAAGACACAAGAAGTGCCAGCTGATTTACTGCAACCCTCTTAGCTAAGCTTGGGAATTAAGTGGTGGGCTGAGGGGGAAAGGGGGGGGGCTGTTATCATGGTCTGCCAGCTGGTGGGAAGGGAACTCAGTAAGTATTCTAACATCAATAGAATGCACTGAGCTGAAGATAAATGCAGCAATGGAATATGCAGGAGGCAACTTTTTGAGTAGGTTAACTTGCTCTGTACCCCGGAGGCATTATCCTTCACCTTACCAAATGCCTCATATTCCACGGCAATTGGAGCAATGAGAAAGCACCACGTGATCATGAGACACAGAAGGGTGCGAAGGAAACCTCAGACATGTTGTTCACACATGTCCTCTGGGGCCTTCATTTGGGGAGTGCATTCAAGTTTACTCTCCTGACATAAAGGGCTGGGATACTTGCTGGTTTGGGAATTACCCAAGTTTCCAAGTACCAGCTTGCCTTAAAAAATAGAACAAAACACCACAGTGGTGTTGACTTTGGGAGGACCTCCTATATCTCTACGCAGCCCTGAATAAAAGTTTGAGATTTACCTATGGGGGAGGGGAGCATACACGGACCTGCTGCACAAACTCCTCTGAGCCACAGTATCCATCCTCCTTAAGTTCTATTGTGACCAAGACAATTTCTCCCACCTGCACCTGGCAAAGTCTTATTCACCAAGAGGGAGCTTTTGTGTTGCCCTCCCTTGGAAGGGAAGGCAGAGGAGCCTTTTAGAAACCTTCGTGATGAGAAGAGCCCTCGGACCATCTTTCCTTTTCTCTCCATATTCTGATGGGAGGCCAGGGACAAGGCGCTGATAAGCTGAGAGGGGTCTTGGGGTTTTTTTGGTTAACACTGTTCACCTGAATGATGTACTTCATTCCTTTTATAACATTTTAGAAACATCTTGCTTCCCCTCCAAATTAGCTTGTGTCTAGGAACTAATGTCTAGCCCACCAGTTGTGCTATAGGATACATTTCCACTACACAAGCAAAGGGCTAGAATAAGCTGGGTACTTCATCACAGCTTTGTTATGTTTGGTCACAAAGCAAAGGTACTGTTGACCATAGCATTGAGTTTTCCACATTTAACCAGATCTTGGTTTGTTTTCGTACAGCCACATACATTGCCCTGCCCCCCTTCATACATCCCACCTCAAATGCTTCAGATTTTTACCAAGTCATATCCACCCAAGGCCTTCTCATTTACCCACCTCTTCACACCCACATAAGCAACCAAGAGTCATGCTTTTTGGCCTCATCATCAGTGTTTGTTAAAATGGAACAGACAAAATGGAAGCTGGGAGAAGCAAACAAAAGTTTCATCTTGCAGAAGTCAAAGTCTTTCCCTGAATTCAGTCTCATGCTGGGGCCCATCAGCTTGCTCTGCATTTGGCCAGGTGCTGGCTTCTGGAAAAGTTTCACAGTATGTGAGGGCATGGAATGACATTCATCCCTGGGTTTTGTGGTGAACAAACATTTGTGGACTGAAGACTGGCTGTCAGGCATGACTGGCTAAAGAAAACCGCTTCTTGAACTCGCAGGGGCACAAACACAGGTTGGAGAAAGAATGACCAAGTGGTTTTATCTGTGGCAGTGAGAGACCCTTTGGCTGCTTGCTTACCTATAGTGTATTCGTTACGCCCAACCTGGTTTTTCATTTCTTTCTCAGTCAAGAAATGAACAGAAGTTGGGATATTGGAGCCACTGTAGGGGTCTTGTTTCCAACAGCTGTTCCAGTATGTAGAGATGGTACGGGAGAGGTGTGTGAGAGAAAGAGTATGTCTGTGTTAAAGAGAGGATTCCTCCTAGTGCAAAGTTCTCAGTGGGATTAACCAGCAAGCTATGGGAAATGCTTTCCATGGGAAAGTGGGGGGACATTCACAGAAGCCCATGGCTTGGATGCTGCCCCCATTGGACTGGATGCTTCCAGAATCTTGATTTGTGGAAACAAGACGGCATATGAGCTGAAAATGACAGAACACAGAGTAGACAATACAAGACACCTTCTTTTTATCCCCATGAGGGTGGGGTGATGAAGGGGGGAGGCAATAAAGAAGTCTTCGGACAGAAACAATCTACCATCCTCGTTTACCAATTAAAAAAAAATAAAAAATTAAGAAAAATGAAAAGCTCAACTCTGTTTTTGTTTCTTTGCACATCCCCCTCTGTGAATGTCTGTTAAGAGTCACTGGGATGCAAGAAGGGAAAGAAGAGTGTGCCTTCAGCAAAGGGTAGACCCAAGGAAACCCTTTTGCTTTGCAGAAGTGCCTTAAACAAGATAACGCTGAAGGTCACCTTGAAGAGGTGGGAGCCATTGCTTTGTCTCTGGGGAAGTGCTGAGCCCTAGGTGAGGAGGGAGGGCCCTTATGACAAGTCTTCCACTGGCAGTTCCTCCTCCAGGTCTCTGTCATCAGGAATTGTCACATTTTGATTGGTTGTTGCCATGAGAGAAACAGGTCTGTTGTCATCCTCTGTCTCAGCTGGTTCTTCCTTCACATGGACTTGGTGGCTGAAGAATGGCAAATTGGAGAAACCAGGCAGAATCAGAACAATGCTTCGCTAAAGAAAATAAAAGTACTCAGGAAACAAGAGTGCTCAAGGGACTAAGTAATGAGCTCTGATAGAGCTACTTAATAAAAGAAGCAAGGTGGAAACTATATACATGGTTAATGGGGTAGTAAGCATTTGAGTTCCTTCAAGGTTTATTTCTTTCTTTGTTGGTTTATTTCATATCCTGCCTTTACAAGAACCTTGAGAGAACTTACACATATCTCCTTCTCCTCCTAGTCTTATACTCACAACAACCATGTGAGGTAGGTTGGGCTGAGAATCTGTAACTGTCCCAAAGTCATCCAGCTAGCTCCATGGCTGAGTGGGAATTAGAAGCTGGATCTCCTGAGGTCCAGTGTGGCACTCTTAAGCACACTGCCTCTTTATAGTTCCACTACCCATGTCTAAATAGAGAAAGCTTTGTAGCACTCAGGTTAGCTAGCTGAGCTAAGGAGTGCTCCATGTGAATTTTAATTCTTAGTCTATACTCTCAAAGTAGTCTCTTCCAGTGGTCAAATGCCTCTGATGTTAAAAGAAATACTTTCCACAATAAAATAATTTTCTGACCATTGTTAACTGGAAGCCCTTACAGTGTATGTGATCTCAAAGTGCCTTCTCCAACTATCATTTGGCATGCTGCAAGAAGTGAATATGGTGTTGATAAAGAAACTACTTAGCTAAGGCTGAGTAGGGCAGTATCCACTCAGGCTCTTTATCTACAGTGCTGCCGGGACACCACAGCGTACCAAAATGTGTGTACACACTGACATGTGGTGCCAAAATGCATTCTGATACAAAAACAGTATGAAAATCTTGAACTTTACATTTACAATTCTCAGCATTACAAAGCACCCCTGTTAACACACGGGGGTCCTATTTCTCCATTGATTTCAGACTCAGGCCCAAACTCAAGCTGTAGATCTACTTACATCTTAACAGAGTTTACCAAAAGCCCAAAGTGGCACAGCCTGAACTGCAGGGGATTTCTGCCACTTCTGGATCTAGTAGGTACAACCATGTCGTGCAGAAGCCGCCCTTAATTTTCCTTTTAGTTTCAGCTAGAAAGAAGGCTCTAAGCAAAATATGGCTCTGGTAGGCTTACCTGTACTGCTGTGGTGAAAGTCGGGGGCTATTGCTGCCGTTGCTGTTGACTTGTTCCACAGTGCTGCTCACATCATCATGGCCAACATGCAACATGCCACTAGTGGAGCTCGTGTTGATCATGGTGGGACTGTTCAGAAGAGGGAAGTTACTCTCTGCTAGGGCTGCCTAAAAACAGACAGGGTCCAACTGATATAATTCATAGGTACGAAAAAGAAAATTATGACAGGTTTGCAAGGTTACCCCAGATATCCAGGTACTGAGAACTACAAGTCAATTTTTCCCGAAGGGACTTAAAATGCCTCTCTAGGTTTTGCAGTCTTCCAGAAGAGTTCAATCACTGATGTAAACTTTGTGTGTAACTTTATCACTTAATTAGGAATATTCATGTCCTTCCTTTCTAGCTGAAAAACAGAACTGATTGAGTTGGCTTGCAATGAAAAATTAACACAATACTAAAATACTTTTTCAAATCTCATATTGGTTTGATTCTGACTTGGTCAAACTGTTTTAGACAGTTGTCAGAAAGGTGAGCTTTCCATGAGTGCTGATGAAGTTTGGGGTGCCTACCTCATTGGCTAAGAGTAATCTGAAGCCTGATTTGGTGGGACTCATGAAATAGCTCCAGGCCACACAAGTTCCGCAGCAGTAACCTTGCCCATGCTTCCTGCACCACCATTCAGTAGTTGGACCTGTCCCAACAGCCTCTGATTTGCCACCAAGCAAAGGGGAAGGCTGAAAGGGCAATTCTGTTAACAAGATGGCAAGGCACTGCACTGTGAGAGAGAAATTGTCGTTTGATATCCTTCATTTCTTCTTACCCCTTTCAAAACAATGTATTGCCCAGCTGGAACATCAGAAATATATTAACACTGCATTGTTACAGCAACAAACGGGAAGGTAGGCTTTTGGCCATGTGGAGTCAGGTTTCCCAGCTCGTTACAGGAAGCAGAGTTGTTTAGACTGGACTGGTTCTCCAGAACATCTTGTAGAAAAGTAGCACTGGATATTCTATGCTGAAATTTTAAACTAATCACTAATTAGCTTCAATAGTCATAGAACAAATTCTGAATATTCATCCAAATGTCATGATACATTCAGTTTCTACATTCATATTTCCCTCATAGTTTGATTCCTGCATTCATGGTTCTGCTGTGGGGGACCAATGGAATAGAAGTTTCTTTTGGTGGGTTTGAATTGTAAACACAGCACTTTCCCTAAAAAGGCATATAAACTTGACCTTACCTGGTAGCTGGCATTAAGTGCTCCATAGCTAAGGCCAGAAATCATGTTTTTGACTAAAGTTGGACTCCTGTAAACAAAAGAATCAGCTGTTTACAGTCCTACACAACACAAATTAGATTAACAGAAGTAGCTTGGAAGGAAGAGCAACTTCAGAAGCCAGTGCTGTTTATGATTCCACTAAAGTGAAAATTTGTCCTACTGGTGGTGGAAGATGCCTACTAGCCCCTTGTTTGTTTCTATCCGTGACGACCTAAATGTTTTGATAGTACCAACAGTACAATAGCTCTGTTGTGATTGTCATGTTTTATTTTAGACATGACACCAAACTGCAGCAGAAAAATCAAGCATGCAAGCTGGTATTAGGAGGAGGATGCCTCATTGCCCTAGCTTTCAGACTTTTGGTTGAAGCACTGTTACTGCTATCAGAGATGTTCAGCCTTAAAACTCTATGAGAAATATTTCACGTTCATTTCACTTTTCTCGGTTCATTGTTTGTACATTAAAAAGCACAGCTGAACAAGTGACAAGAATGGCAAACATAAAATTATAACTTGGTTATATCAACATTCAGAGTGACAGGTTTTCTGGAGTCAGAGGTTCTAATACTGCTAACCACCTAATACCACTGCCAGTTATACCCTGTGGTCCATGCATTATCAGATGGGATATGTAGTTACCACTAGTAAGTGAATGTTTTTGGCTATAGTATTATACCGCTAGATGCATTTAATATCACTACTATTTCTGTGATTCTTGCAGCAGTCATAGGCATGTTTACTCAGAAATCAGTCCCATTGTGTTCAATAGATGTGGTTTAATTGATGTGGTAATGTTTTAATTACGTTACATGCTATCTATATTTTATTATCGTTATTGCCTTGAGCATTATTTTCAGTGGAAAGGCAGGACATAAATTAAAGCTTACTTGTAGGGAAACTTGCATGGGATTGCAATCTTGATCATGTAAACTTGCAAGGATTAATATCACAGGTTTATCCAGCTTCTAAACTCTCTTGGTGTTTGAATAGCAGATGCCTAAATATAGACTTATGTGCTACTGAACATGCACTCACAACTGTGAAAATCAGAAGGCAGTGTGCAATATTTGAGTTCATTCCAGCAAACTGACACAGGCAGTAAGTGAATCAAAAGCTAAAATGTGGTTCTGAAAAATCTCAATATATAGGGCAGCCCCCCAAGAATAAATAATGCAAACCTCTCAGTCACCTCTAGCTGAATCGCCCCTCAGCCATCCTCAGGGATCACTGATGGGGGTTATAGCTCAGTCATTTCAAGAGCGTCATTTACTCCTTTACAAAATACAGAATTCATTTACAGAATTCAGAGCCACAAGACACACCAATGGTCGCCATTAGCTTAGAAAGCTTTTTAGGCAAATTCATGGAGGCTACTTCTATGACTTAGCTTTGATAGCTGTATGCTCAGATGCAGAATTCTACTAAACAATCAGATGACAACAAAAGGACTGCTGATGTCATACCCTTCTTGTGAACTTTCCAGGAGCATATAGCAGGTCACAGTTAGCAAAACAAACAAAGAAACAAAAAACATTAGGCTAGGTAGATCTCTGGTCCCATCCAGCACAACTGTTCCCAGGACCTCAATATAATAGGTGCACAGTCCGCATGGGAAGGATGTTGGATAGCTCCCATATACTTCCCCCGTACCCCATGCAAGATGGACACTGTATGCCCTCAATCATTCTCATAGAGCATTCGTTTTCCCAAGGGTCCTGCCTGGGAAGTTGTCAGACACACCCTGTCATCTTTGGCGGCCTTCTCTTTTGGTACTCGAGTTCATCTACGGTCCAGACAGCTCCCTTGACATTCTCCACTCGCACGAAGCACTTATGCAGGCTCAGGTTGTGGCGCACGGCATTCTGTAAGCAGGACAGAGAAAGAGAAATGGTGTCTTCAAAACAAAGTGAAGGTCTTCCACTGAACAATCCCACCCCAACCTGCAAAAAAAACTCTCCAAACTTATTCCTTCCAGTCTCTTACAAAATTATTGCCAGCAATCTGCTACTGATATACTTAACATTCAGTTCTCAGTGGGGATGCTTCATATACTGAAGACAATAGATGAACTGTTTTAATAGCTGTTTCTGTCCTATTGTCTCCACTGTACATGTTCCTACAATTTTATTCAGTTACCTTGTTGGCTAATTCAGCACCAACTCCTGATCAGCTGCCTCAGTGCTATCATTTCTGCTGCGTATTAGCAGACCAGCCATCATGTTAGCTGATGGCAGCAGGCACCCAAGAAAGTACCTGTGCAATATCCTGAAGAAACATGGGAGCTGGCACTAAGGTGCCCTCTGCCAATTTCAGCAGCAGAGAAAAGTGTGCATACCGCAGAGAGCTCCCTTCCCCTGCAATTGTTTGGATCCAGGAACACCAACAGCAGCTGGTAAAGACTGATGCTCAGAGGTACAGAAGGAAGGGGCTGCAGTGTGGCAATTCAGCAGTACAAGTTAGCAAGAATGCTTCGATCCAGTCATAAAGCAAGCTTGCAGGAATCCATCAGAAAGACGACCGTTCCATCACAAGCTCTAAGACACTTGCTACACAGCTTCCATACAAGAACCATCTTGTGAGGACATGTCTTGTTCTCACCTCCTACTGACTGGACTTCCACAAGCCAGGCTACGTAATCTCTCATTATTGGCTAAATGGAGGGAAGAGGGAGGGGGGCAGAAGCAAGCTAAATATTGTGAGGGGCAATTGATTTCCAACACCATCCTCTGCTTGGAAAACCTCAAAATCCACCCCACCCCCACCCCACCTCCTATCTTATATCTTCTTTATTCTGTTGCCCATCTTTACATTTCTAAACGTAAAATAAAGAAAATGCACGTATACAGGCAGTGTTGCCCCGAGAGATACTAGCTCCCTTTCCCCCCCTTCTAACTCCCTGCCATTTGCTACTGCCCCTATTTCATTACCAATTTTAATTTGCCTCTAATTAAATCCTGTGTATTTTTCCAACTCACTTGCTAATCCATGAGGGAGGCAAGAGGCTGGAGTGGAATCTCTCCGAGCTATAATTACAAAGGGCCTAATCACGTCGGGGCTCTGCCTTTGAATAAATTTCCTTGCATTAAGGTTCTCAGATTCTCTGCCTTGCAAATGAGAATGACCCCAATTTCAGGATGTTGGCCTCGGAGGGTTTTTTTTTTTTATTTCGAGTCCTGATTCGTGATGAGAGACTAATTCGTTACGCTAAAACATTAACAGCAATTTAAAAGGTCGAACGGGGGCCGTATAAACAAAAGAGCCAGCCAAGACAACAAGGCAAAAGAGGGAGAGATGGAGAGTAAAAATCCCACCTTAGAAAGTGTTACATTCTTGGAAACTGCTTTTTCCCTCCAGTTTTGAATACAGTTTATTTTTTCAAATTCCCCCATACCACCTCCCTCACTTTTTTCTATTATTTATCCAACTGAATGTTTGTGATGATGCCATCGTCCCTCCTCAGTGGCCCCCATTCTCCAAACATTGGGGGTGGGGTGGGGAGACCGAAGCTTTACTTTCTACTTCTGTTATAAAGGTAGCAATTCAGTCTAGAACCATGCAGAGCCTGACAATGCTAAGATGCCACATGAAACTGCATTAGGCACTAGCATTACATTTAGCAGTAGAGCAGTTTTCTCCAACCTGGAGCCTTTCGGATTTGTTGGGACTGCAACTCCCACAATTCCAAGTATGTGAGAATTATGGGAGTTGAAGTTCCAACAAATCTGGAAGCTGCCAGGTCAGGGTAATACCTTTTCTCAAGTTCAATAAGCCACATCAACTGACCACAAAACTATAAGGGCCTTCTGACAGACTTATCTATGAACAGTAAAAGCCCAAGCATTGCCCCTTATTTAGTCATATCACTCCTGTGAAAAAACTACTCACATTTAAAAAAGCAACGGACTCCATCACCTGTGTTCAACACTTCCACATGGCCTTGTTTCCTATGGGCAGCTGTGCCCAAACTGTGCCAACTCATGTGAATTTGGGGGAATTCAGGGGAATTCACATGATATCATGCTTTAGGAGTGCCAAAGAGCAGCCTGGTGAAATTGCTCATGCAACTGCTTTGCTGCTGTCGGGACTGTGTGCTGCATAGCATTTGCCCTCCTGTACCACCTCTTTGATGACATGTGAAGTACTTTACAACCCTGAGACACAAGTCATACGAGAGAGCGAGAGCGCGCGCACCAGCTTAAATGGGTTGCTGAGTCCCACAAAATGAGTCTCACATAGGAAATGGATCTCTGCCTCCAGAAGCAGCCCTAGTGCAGAAATCAAAAGAACAAGTCAGGGTCTCCTGTAAAAATCCTGCACCCTCATGTTTTTATTTTAGAGACAGTAAATCCTGTATGGGATTTGCTTACCACTGGAAACAGCACCCCTATTTCTGTGCAAAATGTGGTCCTTCTGCACTGAAGCCAGTTTGATGGCAGATGCCCTCTGGCACTAAAATCAGAAGATGAGCAGATATAAAGTACCTTGGAGACCTTTACCATGGGACATCCTGCCTCTACTTCAGCAGTGCAGTCCTGGTGCTATCAGCCAAATGTGGCCAGAAAATTGGGTGTGTCAATGTGTAATTGGCTCCCGAAAAATCCACTTGTTCCTCTGTTCTGCCCTACAGCAGAATAGCAATGGGTTCTGGTTGTGAGGGGCTCTCTGGATGCTCATCATTCCTAACCAGAGGATTGTCCTGCCATTATCAAAGAAGGCGGCTTGCACTTCTGATCAACAGCGTCCTCAATCAAACCTTAGCTTTTTTTGCATCAACAGCACAGGAGGACAAAAGGCCAGCCATCTTGTGAAGGTCACTATGTGTACTAGGATGGTCACAGAAGTTTGCTGAAAACCATACACAATGCTCCATTGCAAGCATAAGCAGAATAAGAATAATCTGATACAGTAATAAAACTGTCTTAGTTCGCAGACAATCGAGGCTGGTTCTAGCAACACCTGGACTTCTAACAAACCATTCCAGTATTTTATGTGCATTTCACAAACTCATGGCCACTCTAGCAGATGGTAACTGAATGCTACCAAGCATATCTTTGCTCTTGCCTCCTATCAGTGGCCCCCTGCTCAAGGAATCATGCCTTCTTGCATGATTGTAATGCAGCTTTTGTATTTTTTACATAGCATTTGTTTAATGCCAGGCTTGGCTGCTCTGTTTGCCTCTTATCTTTGCCTTTTCTAATGATGTTTGCTTTATGCCCCTGGCCCAGCCTCTCTCTCCAGCTCCCACCCCAACCATTCAGCATTGCTCTAAGCTCCCTGCTGGGTGTGCTGCCGCTGTCATACCAACAAAGTCCTCCTTACACCTGTCTCTTTAGAGGCACCTCTTGGCACCTGTTTACTTTGCACTCGCCAAGCTCCTACTGCCTCAAAGTGCTCTAGAAAGATGGCTAGAGATTAAACATCATAAAAATTGGAAGGGTTTTCCTTGTGAAATAACCAAAATAATGCACACTGGAACAAGCCCAGGTGCGGAGACATGATAAAATAAAAAGGGAAACACACCTGAATTTCCCTGCAATGGACTAAATGGCCATCTTTCAATATACAGATATATTTTAAAGCGGATTTTTCCTAGTAAGAGGCTCTTAAATGGAGGTTTGCTACCTGCACTAATGTGTTATTTCTAATTTGTTGTTATTATGTGCCGTCAGGTCATCTCTGACTTATGGTGACCCCCATGAATGAAAGCCCCCCAGAGAGTCCTGTCCATGGCAGCCTACTCAGTTCTTGCACAGTCAAGGTTCTGGCTTCCTTCATGGAGTCAAGCGATCCCATGTCTGGCATTTCTAATTTACACAGGACATTAAGTTCTGTATGTGCCCAAGATCAGTAAAGGACACCAGATCAGGCATCGTTAGGCCACTGCATTCCTCATCTCCTGTCTCAAGAGGTAGAAAGAGATTCTCAGTTCATGCCTTTACTATTTTAGGCACAACATTTTCTATGAGGCACATGGTTCTAAGCAAGTGAGACAACTACAGCTTGGCTTTCCTCCAGCCCACGCCCTTCCCACAATTTCCTCCCATGGGACTCCACTTGCAACATGTACAGGATGCTATCTGCAGAGTTATTTGTGACTTGTACAGGCAAAGCATATTTACTTGTAGTATTCCACCTGAACCATTAGGGGGCCTCAATGATTGGTGCCTGAGCTGAGAGAGCCCTTGAAATGACTACAGCCTTCCTCAGTTTGTTTGAATTACGTATTTACAGACTCCCATTCTGGTTGGTATTGAGGCTTTTACTCCACACATTAAGGAAGGAAAATAAAAAATATCTTCTACCCACAGTCTTGTCTCAGATATTACCGTACCCCAAACACAAATGTTCCCAAGTCACTTGCTCAAAAGGTTATGCATTTAACCATTACAGTACAAAAATCTAAACAGAACAAATATAATTAGCCTTATAATTGTGCACATCTAAGGGAAAGCAGATTCTCCATTCATCTTACTAGCATGTACCAACCTTTCATTTCATACGTTAATTTTAAAAGTCACAGAGCTTAATTTCCCTGTCAAGCTAAGTGTGCAGTTCAAAGTGTCCTAGGTCAGCTCACCTAGGCACCTGCCTTTTTACCTCTGTAACAATACGTGGGAGGTTGCGGATGGCTATGTTAGTCTGTTGCAACAAAAGCAACAAAGAGTCTTGTGGCACCTTAACGACTAACACATTTGTGCTTGAGGACAATGTTCACTTCATCAGACTCATACAGTGGGTGGGATCCATGAAAGTTCATGCCAAAATAAATATGTTGGTCTATTAGGTATTACAGAGTACTTTGTTGTTTTTATTACTGGAAACTGAACACACACACAAACACATGGAAGCTAAAAGACAGAGC